CTTTCTGCTCATCCTCTCCCTGCTCTAATGGGAAAGCCCAAATTTTCAGACTTTTGACTTTTCTTGGTCCCCTGAGTAGGTTCACCTCTCAGGCAATTCTCTGGGCAGATGTTTGCTTCACACCTTTGCTACTCAAATTAGAGCGCTTTACTGGCTTCTTATCTTACTGTCACAGGAGACGCATGCCCCACTCACCGAATTATGAGGCTTTCGCTTATCCAGTCAGCAGATAACTAAGCTGCTGCTGTGTTGTGGGCACTGCGTTAGGCCTGGAATGTGTCCCAAAGTTGCTTACAGCTAGTCTGCGAGGAGCAGGTGTGCAGGGAGGCAGAGAGGGGTACAGATAACAGCCAACAGCTACAGAGGCCATGACAGAGGTGTAGTCAGAGTACATAGGAAAAAGTGTGAGTCAAAGTGCCTTGTAAAGATGACCTTTGATAGCCTTCAGGGGATATCAGCAGGTTCACTTAGTTACAACCTTCCTAGTCCCCAGTTTCCAGGACGTTACTGTCTCCCAAAGAAACGTGACAAAAGACCTCAGCCCAACATCAGTAAGAGAAACTTAGCTGAGGGCCTTGGCTTTAGATGTGTTCAATAATCAATGGAGCTACGGTAGTGACAACTATGACCATGTGAAAGTACTACCACAAAGTACTCTGTGACACAATCATTCTTAGAGAGTCTATACAAGCAAACAAAGTGAAAAGCAAGGAGGTTAGAAAACAAAGGAGAATTCGGGAGTAGTGGCATACACCTGTAATCCCAGCACTCAGGAGGCTGAGACAGGAGGATTGGCACAAGTTTGAGGCCAGCCTGGGTTACATAGTGAGTTCAAGTCCAGCTTTAACTATGTAGTGAGACCCTGTCTCAAAACAAGTAAACAAAAAACAACGACAACAACAGGAGAAAACAATAGATAAGAGTTTGGCAACGTCTATTTCTAGAAAAAGACCCAGTACCCAGTATCTGAGTTACACATCTAGTTATAGTTGCCCTTCCTCCTCTGCTCAGATATCTGAAGAACATTTTCACTTTACTTCCTTTTCTTTTTTCTTAACCATTGCTTTTTCTCTGTGAGTTCTGCCAATACAAAGTATCTGGGGACCAACAAGATTTTGATTTATTTCCTATCTCTATAATTTCACCAAACACTATTTAAATGTTTCACTTGAGTTACCTTATTTAATTCTCCCAGCTCTGTTCCAACACAACCTGGTCCCGGGGAATGAGGACTGGCCCCAAAGTGCTGTGGGATCAAAGAAAGAAGGAGGCAGATCTAGGATTGCACGGAGTGCAGTTTATTGGGAACTTACTGACAGGAGCTGGGACCTGGTGGCAACAAGATCAGTGGCTCTCTGAAACTTGGTCAGATAAAAGGAGACTTATGTTGTGGTCAGAACAAAAGTGACTTCAAAATAATGCATTTTTAAAAAGTGACTTCAAACTCAGTTTCTTCTCTAGCAATGGAGGGCTGGTTCTTTGCTTCTCCTCTCTCAGTCCTTTTGCTGAGCCCATTCTCCAGCTTACTGCAAAATCTACAAGGCACCAGTATATTTTCAATAATTCCTTCTCTGAGGAAGTTAGCCAGTGTTTGTTTCAGCATTTTGCATTTAAGAATCCTGGCAATACATCTTCTGATCCACTTGCAGCTTTAGTGTGCATGTGCATTAGGGTGGGAGCAATGGGAGGCAATGGGAAACCTCTAATATGCTGTTTGAAGGAAGGACAGACGTAGATTGCCTCTGTTGCCTCTGTGTGTGCATGCATATGCATGCAAAAAACTACAACTGTTATCTTTTTTTTTAAATTTGTGTCTTTTTGAGACTCCTATGCAGTTCAGGCTGGCCTTGAGCTCACTTTGTAGCTCAGGCTGGCCTCAAACTCGTAGCACTCCTCCTGCCTTAGCCTCCCGAGGGCTGGGATTACAGGCGTGTGCCTCCATGCCCGGCAGTACCACAGTTTTACTAAAATATATCACATACTATAATACTATTTTATATATATCACATACCAGAATAGACACTTTATTTTTTCACTTTTTCTCTAGACACTCTTTAAAAATATACAATAGATGGTTTTTAGTATACTCACAACGTTTAGCAAGTTTCATTCTAGTTTCTTTTTGCGGGGGTGCAGGTGCGGTGGCACACGCTGAGTCAGGAGGATCGCCGCCAAGCTCGAGGCCAGCCTGGTTACATAGTGAATTTAAGGTCAGTCTCAACTACATAAGGAGACCTGATTCACAGCACACACACACAAAAAAAATTGTCTTTTGTTTTAAATAAAGATCCTTTCAGGAGTTTCTAGACCTAAGGAACTTTTGAGTACTGTATATTTCATCACTTTTTTTTTTTTTTTTTTTTTTTTTTTTTT